GGGCATGGGGGGTTACTTCCTTGGAAGGTTAAATAAATATCTGCGCATGTGACGATGGTGGTATATTTTGATTCTTTGAGTTGGAACTACGGGTAAAGAGAGACAGGGGGACATCGGATGCATAGGGTTTAATTAAGCGATGCAATTGGGATATACAGATAGATACATCCATCCATCCATCCATCCATCCATCCATCCATCCATCAATACATAGACATGCTGAATTAAACTTGCCTATGGAGGAAACGCAGTTATTGATCTTTGCTTTTGATGAAAGTAAGAGGAATGCATCCAGTCCTTGTACTGTACAAAGAATCAAAAGGCTCTCATCAAGTTGTTTGTTTGTTTGCGTGTGCATGATAGGGGGTCTATATATAAGCATCATTGATGGCAGGCAAGATGGAATATACTCTCTCGCATAGAACAGAAGTTGGAAAGCATAGTTAACAATGAGTTTATAATATTCTCATTACACTGCTCCATAAAACAATTTGGAACGCATCCCGACCAAATAAAGTAAGTCCCCCGTGCTGCTGCAGTGGCATCTCTATTTAATCATGACATCTCCTCCACAGCAAACCACGCGCGCAGCGAATGCAATGCAGCATGTATATGTATGCATGTACTATACATATACTATTCCGGCATGGGGGAAATGGCCACTAGGTATATAAGCAAGTGCTCGTCGAGATGATTCGAAGCAGATCCAATTAATGGTCGCTGGAATGGTCGCCAAGAAACAAGGATAGATAGGCTGTTCTCGTCCCACTGTCATGACCACATTGATCCCCATACCTCCCTCTATCCTTGCATCTACGATCGATGTACAGATCTGCACAAGATTATGGAGTGATATGAGCGAGATATGGTTCATCCCCATGGAAAGAAATAACCCACCAGCCACACTCTCTCATACCTTGCCCATCCGACCGATATGCATCATCATATCATTGAATAGAGAAATGTAACTAGAGAGTAGCCGAACATAAGGCTAGCTAGTGAGGTGAAGGCTGTCATAGTCTCAGACTGCATATGGCCTTAGAAAAAATATGAAAAAAAAAAAAAAAAAATCATCATATCATCACTGTCTCTAGTGATGGGGTCTGGCGGGGGTCGAGAGGCAGAGAGCAGTATCATCAGGCGTAAATAAATAAAATAAAATCAAGGCTGGCTGAGGTTGATGGGGAAGGGATTCCCTTTCATTTTCATCATCGGGATTCAGGATAACGGTGGAGACATCGTGTGACGATGATGTATACATATATTTTGGTGGGTAACAACAGGTTTTCCCAACCCAACCAGGGCGATGATGCGCATGTATGTACCGAGTTATATCTTATCGATAAGTTGGAGGAGGTGTCACTCAACCCTCTTCTCTCTTCTTCTCTCACTCTCTCTGGCTCCCTCCCTCCCTCTCTCTCTTTCTCTGTCTCTGTCCATTCTCCGTTTCAACTTCCTATCTCTCGGGTCTCGACCCTCTCTTAACCATCTGACAAGTTTCAAAATGGACGTACCGAGTCCACACCCAAAGATGTATTGCGTGAGGTGATGTGGGGCGAGTAAATAAAAAAAAAAAAAAAAAAAAAGCCAAACAGCGAATCCTACATCATCATGCTCCTTACAGGGAAGAAAAACCAGAAACCCACCTCTGGCGCCAACCAACTCACTCCGTGGCCAGACTCTGTTGGTCTGAAACAACAGCGCAACAGCAAGGGCGTTTCGTTTTTCACGCATCCACATCCACATCCACATCCACGGTGGGATGGGTATGAAGCATGATGGCGGGAGGGCAGGCGGGGATTCTTTTCAGAGTCATGGAGGATGAATAATTGTAACTATAACCTGACTTAACAGGAGCAAACCTGAATGAATGCCTGCGTCTGTTGTGTGTATACGCTATGGGTGTGTTATGTGTGTTACTGCACTCTCGGGAAATGATCACTTCGTCACCACGTTGCCCACGAACAGCACGGACAATGTACTGTACGGAGTACTGTGCCGATACTGAGGCACAGTGTACCTGCATCTTCCAGCACCACAATTCGTTCCATACGTTCCAGTCGTTCCAGCGCATCACGCATCACGAAGATGATTTATCTTTTCTCTGGCTGGCCATGCAATGTGTAAAAATGATTTCCATACAGCCTGGGTCTAGTGCAGGTGTATCCGTACTCGTTCTACTACTGCGTAATGTACTGTACTAAGTGTAGTTAGTTAAATGTTCTGCGTATGGACATACGATGTCAGCATGCGTAAACGTAATACACGTAATACACATCAGAGAATCAAAAGGACCCAGCTTCATTAAACGAAGCGAGCCAATGACATGGGCGGGATGCCTTGCGAAGTTGCAAACGGGCGGCCAGCGGACAGGGGGTCGCTGGGCGTCCTGATGGGCGGTGGAGGGCGATGGAGGGCGGCGGCTGGCGCTGGTTGGCGGAGGGCGAATACCTCGCGACGTGCAGTCGCTAGGATTGATTGCCGGAGCCAGCGAGAGTGGGACAGGGGCCACGATGGAGGTTCTGCACACAGTACTGTACCTTGCTGCGGGCTGACAGGAGGTTGCTGGGAGATTACTCGTACGGAGCACGTCTGGGTGCGATGGATATACTATGCAGAGAGGTGGAAAGATCGAATGAGAGAGAGGGAGGGTGAGATAGGGCAATCCATGTGACGAGTCACTCTGCTATATCCTATCCTGCGTACGAAGTAATTCTTATAATCGCGAGAGATCATTGACTCTGGTTGCTCCACCATGTTTCATCTGTTCAGCATCTGGCATCCGCCAAGAGACACATAAGATTTGAGTTTTGCTGCAAGGATGATGATACCTGGTTCGCGCCCGTATTATTTCCGGCC